GCAAATATGCATCCATGAGCACACAGTTGAGACAATGAAGTGACTCCAGTGAGTAAACGCAGTCGCGTACATTTATTCTTTATGCGGGATATCTTTTGGCGAGTTCAGGGGCTCTCGAGTCGCCAGTAAGACTTCGAAAGAACACAAACTTGCCTGACACCATCCATTATATATTGTCACTGGTCATTTCCCCAAAGAGTCACCTCCTCTGTATCCCATAACACCAAGAACATATTTGAGAGTCATGTTATGCTTGATACATGTAGTAAAAAATCTGAATAGCAGCCCAGTTAGCCAGCATGGGGTGTGGGCCACATGACGAGGCCGCTCGCTCGCCACTGCCGGACCCGGGAGATGCCCCAGCCGGGACACGCGCCGCCGGCTGGCCTGTGGCTGAGGCGAAATCGCGAAACGCGCGATTCCGCATACTTTCTGAAAGCGCTGTAAAGAGCGAAGGCGAGAAACAAGCGAGAGGAATTTGGACACCATGTCCGACGGCAGATGCCGAGCAACTCCATGTGTATTGGGCCACAGTGGCACGAACGCACGTCTCAAGTTGTAACCATATGCATATAACAGCCATTAGTTACTACAGTGTATTTTTGGACCGCTATGTAGCAGTACGGGTATTCATTCCTATCAAGCTCAGGCCTCGCCTCCTGTGGAGGTACCTACAATCTAGCTCTCCTGATCAGGACCAGTACGAGTGTCGTTCATTTGTGAGGCAGATCAGTCATTCTATTTATACACTATATCCGGCCTCATACTCAACGTAGTGAATCATCAACATAATCATCATCATGCAGCCGAAGTTTCCGGCGCGACATACTTCCCACTTCCCTTCGAGAACACGTCCTGTTCACAGAGTGTGTCAGTTACGAACCTCACACCGTGTTGACTTTTGACTCTCTCTAAAAGCTAGACGAAGAAACACTGGGCAAAAAACGCACCTTGATAATCCCCCTGGAGATCTGACCCAATGCTTCCCTGCTCTCCCACAGAGGATACATAACTACTGAGAACGCAGAGATGAAACACCAGATGATGCCGATGACGACCCAAGCGGAGAGACCGCGGACTCCATAGATTGTTTGGGCGAAGAAGAGGGGGAAGGGGATTATGATGAGCATTACGAGGACCTGCATTCCATCGTAAGGAGATTCGCAATACATCAGATGCAGAATAAACCGTTAGCCAAGGTGCGGAAAGAATAAAGAGCTGGATGAAGGACGGTAGAACGTACCAATGCCACAGAACTCCAAGCAGCAAACTTGAACGCCTTCTTCAACGCCACAGGATCAAGGTCGCTGACATCCACAAGCGGAACGATAGGCTCGTCAGACGCGGAACGCGTATCAGCAACGGTGTCGTCTTTCTCGTCGGTATTCGCCCGGTCGCGTTTCTCGTCCTCAGGGAGTGGCGAGTCGTTGACTGTGTTTTGGCTGGTGTGGTTTTGAGAGTGCATGAGAGGGTTGTTGAGGGCGCGGGTGGATCCAAAGTCGTAGTTGTCTGGCCACTGGAACAGAGAAAGTGTCAGATGAGAGGGCGAACGGAACTGTGTCCGTAGAGAAGGGACGTACGATGAGCGACGATACGGTGGCAATAATGGCTCCAACGCCAATCGAGGCCAAGTTACCCGCCAACATCTCATAATCACCTACAGATCACCCCAGTTCAGTACCGTTGCTCGCCTCGACCAGTCCGTAAGTTAAGCATCGATAGGGCTTACCGCCAGTAGTCGTGACATTGATCACTGCTCCGTTTAGTGTGCTAGTGGTCACTAGCCACGCGATGATCCCAGTCGCGAAACCAACGATCGAACCGATGATGCAGCCCCGTTTGTTAGCTTTCGACCATGTGATACAGATGGCGATGGGAACAACGGCAGAGCCGAGGATAACACCCATGAATGTCTGCATATTGATATGTCAGCTTAAACAATAGTGGACCTTGGGGGATGGGGACGGGCACGTACGTAGAGCCAGCCCTAAGTACAAAAGTGAAAACCCGGTCAGAATTGGACTTGATAAGAGGAAAGAAGAGCAATTACCATGCTAACACCGATATAGAAGAAGATGGTACCAGCAAGGCCCATGACGATGGCAAAGAACGCAACCTAAAGAAATAGTGCGTGGATAAACCCATGCCGTTCACGGTACGCACCATTCGAAGAGGCACTCACCATTGCGTGCGACATCCTCAAGGTCTGTGTCTCAGTCGCATGTGGGTTGATGTACCTCTGCAGCCAACCAAACCCCCATCAGCACAGTCCACCGATCTCGCATATGGCACTACGTCACGAACGAAACCGACACCTACCTTGTATACATCATATGTCAACACCGAGGAGACAGCAATCAGCTCCGCAGAAGCCGCGGAGGTGACGGCCAAGAACAACAGGACCAAGAGAGCAGCGGCACCGGCCTTTCCGAGAAGGGCAGAGGCGGCAGCAGCTGCTGGGAGACCAGCAGAGACGTCAGCAGCGGAGAGGGCGGGCATGTCTGGGTCGTTTCTGAGAGCGACGGCAGCGAGACCCTGTTGGAGTTGATAAGGATGATATCGTCAATCGATCCCAACGGGATTGCAGGCATAAACGAGTACTTACGAGAGTTGTGGCGAATGAGAACGGGATGGCGAACCTATCGTGGGCGACGTGAGCATGATAGTGGACCAAATATTCAGTAGTAGAAACTCACCAAGCAAGTCCACCAAGCAAGTAAGCCTTCACGCAACTCGCGGGTTTACTCGCGATCGCCCTCTGCCAGTACGCCTGATCTTGGAACACAGTCGCAAAGTTCCCAATGACGTTGATCACACCGAAGATAAGGCCATTTTTGGAGCGCATCGTCATGTAAGACCCGTGTGCGTTTCCAGATACGGGGGAGGCGGCAGCAGCAGCCTCGAGGAGTTCGTGCATTTTTGCAGGAGAACCGATTTTGGGGGATGTGGCGTAGACGGTGAAGACGAAGGTGAGAATGATGGCGAAGAGGACTGTCGTGTGAGTGCTACGGAAATTGGTTAGATGAAAAGGTGTGAGTGAGAAGAAAGTGGCGAGCTTACTAGTCACAAAGCAGTGTGGCACGCATTCCGCCGACTACAACATAGATCGCCACCTGAGTAATTGTCAGTCTTCATCACTGCGTAAAATATAAGAGAGATTTGCTTACACCTAGAGGGATGAGGAAACACGCCTGGGCATTCGTTGAGCATGAGCATGGACATGGTCTGGATCCGGAACATCTTGGGACGTACCGCAATCGTACTCATACCCGTGAGGTCTGTGACGGTCGCAGAGCCTCCAAGAATAAGCATAGACGACACGATAATATTCGTGGCAAGTCTGTTTTGCTCGTTAGGCGACACGCGATTAGATCCAAGAACAGAGAGCGCGCACCCGAAGAACATGAAGACGAGATGAGCTGCTGTTCCCCAGCGAGCAGCGACAATCTCAAGCCAAGTGTGTGCGAATGGAGCGTTGAGCTTCAGCTTTGCTGCGAGCTTTGAACGAGATTAATGAGCACCATACAACTCCAGCATGAGAGAGAGTCACGCACCTGGGCAAATAGAAGGACTTGGACTGTGGCACCAGCCTGAAATGACCGTTCATTGACCTGGAACCTATTGATAGAAGCGAGAAACGCAACTTACCCCATACCACCAAGGTCCGCTCTAGCATCAAAAGTCCAGTGAGTGAGCCGTGCGCTAGAAATCCAGAATTTCGCACTTACGATACCGTACTTATACGCCACAGCGCTAGATTGAAGCTATAAACAAGACATCAGATCAGCATGTCCTCAACTTGGTCTTGCGAAAACTCTACCAGAGTCGCAGCCCATGTCCAAGCTGATACGATACCGGAAGCAATCAGACCAGGCTTGACGCTACGTGAGGCGCTACTGAATTCTTCTGATGTCTTCGGTGAAAACGCAGTGTATCTCGCTTGAATGGCCGACAGTCCTATCATCAGGGCGCTGAAGAAGAGACCGATTCCTTGCCATCCAACTGTGTCAACTCTGGTGCAAGGCTATGAGCGCGCAGCAAATACTCACCCACAACTATAAACAATGTTCGATGATTGACTTAGTATCAACATTTCTTGAACGCTTGGACAGTAGTATGGAAACTCACCAACTCCATACCCTGCGCCTTGGGGAAGAATGGATGTAGAGGCAGACGACATCCTTGGTGTTGATGAGTGAGCGAGCAAAGAACTTCTCTACCACGACCTGCGTCCATTTATAGCGGTCACGGAGCGTACCTTTATCTTCCAGTCGATTTTCTTGGCTACTCGAAGCGCCTCCGGCATCATCGACATCATCGACGATTGGTTACTAGTAGTGAGAGCGGTCTTCCGAAACTAGCCCGATACACGGTCCTTATCTCTAGCTCCCTTCCCAGGACAGCGCAGGACGCAGAGTGGCGAACGTAAACATTCCCGCCCATCGATATCATTCATATCCCCGGAGTGCTTATAGCAATGGTCAAGTCACAAGGGTTTAGACGTTTGTTAAGTATAGAGGTGTCGATGTCGAGGCTGCTTTCAAGTGTGCGCACAACTCGAGGATGTACCAGGAAGAGCATAGATCTTAGATCCAGCTTGTACGATAAAGTTGTCCGAGGATTGATGGCATTGCTTCTGAGAAGACCTTGGAGGCTGCTTATCTTCCTACTATGTAGGCAGAAAGTTAAGACATGTTGTCCAAGATGAGCGCGACGGGCGACGGCGGAGTAGGGAGAGACGCGCGATACAAAGAGCGACAGGAGGCGACCCCTGCTGTTGGTTCAGGACGGCGGAACCACTTTGTAGAGCCTGCTAAAGCGGAGTCCAAATTCAGAGAAATAACAAATGTTTATAGTCTTCAGAACTCTCTCTAAAAATTGTCTAAAAATGACTCGGCGGCCGTGGCTTTGCCGTTCTCTCCAAGCTACATACCGACACTATACTTCTACTAGTAAATAGCGCTGCTGCATGCCAAGATTTTACCTGGTGGGACCTGGTAGGACTCGGAGTCGAACAGTGGACGGCCGACTCCGAGTCGGGATGGAACGTAAAGTATCACCGGTAAGTTGCGTTGCTCGCCCCTCCAGGGACCATATGCTTGTCACAGATGTCCACTGCGCCGTGTCGAAGAGAACGGTAGGTTTTGGGTGATTTGTGGTCGCGTAGAGTCTTGTACACGTACCCACTCGAGGCCGTAAGCTCAAGGCTTCATCATGACAGCCCGAATATCTGTCTCCCTCTGGGAGCGCGGGTTCAAATCCTGCTGGAGCCTGGTGTCCTCCATTTTCCCGGGTGTGTGGCCCGAGTTGACTTCTTCTTCCGTCTTTCCCAAAGAGGAGAGATAAACAATCCAAAAATGGACGAGAGAATGGTGTGCGAGGGCGAAGAGTTGGGCGGGGCAGTCGCGAGATCGAGCCGCAGGGCCATGCTTCTTGACAGTGGTTCAAGATGAATCACACTCTCCCGAAGACTACTTACCCAGCGGAAATAAAACAATCTTGTCCTCTGAGCACGTGAATACTCAAATGCCTGCCCTTCATGATGGGTTGCGCAACTGGGGATTAAAAATCACTTTTCGTGTTGTGCCACACGCAGCTCGACAGCGCCACTCGCTGCTGAGGAATTCCGGCGCGTCGATCAATGATGTCATTCGCATCTCGGACTCAATCTTCTTGTTCAACCACCACCCTCAAACGCGAGCTCCTCGAGATTCATGGCATCATCTTCATCTTCCAAGTTCCAGACATTTCGAAGCGAAACCATAGCAATCTCGGACGCTTCGCTTTGAAATACAGCTCGGTACGCCGTCTTGCCTCGTCTTGCGCCTTGCTCAACATCCCAGCAGAATCGGGATGCAGACAATCTGTTGACTTCCCTCTCAAGCTCAACCGCGATATTTGGCTCCTCAGGCCTCAGGCCTCCTTAGGATACGTTCTTTGCAAGCTTCCAGCAGGGTAGAAAGTAGAACAGTCCACCCTAGTCCACCTGCTTCGGAATTTTGCAAGTGCTTCGGTAGATTGGAGAACTCGGAACCGGACCTGCGCTTGACCAGCATTAAACGTACTAATTACAAACCTCTGATTCGATCCCCCGCAACCCCTACTCCGCTTGCTGCACGGACATGCTGAACGTCGCTCACCCTCCTCGAGACTCCATGGAATGATACTCAGACTGCTCGTTTTGCGTCGTCTTTTCACTCTCTTAGCTAAACTCAAATTGCTGGAGACTGCGCGGCACAGGTATCTCCCTAGCTTGACTCGGCCTCAGACGTCTGGTTATGTAGTGAACCAGAGCGAACCCTGTCTTTACGGACGGGGTCTATATTTATCAAGCGTATTTGATCGTGCGCTTGAACACCAAGGGTGCGCAATTTTTCGTCTCTCTGACCCTACGATCACGAGTTCGAAGTCTTGATGCTTCTCAGCTCCACTTTTCCTTCCTTCCTGCGGCGTTGCCTTCCTAGCGCACCTCTCTACGACCCCCAACCGACGGCCTACGGGCTATAAAGCTCAAGCGATGTCGCCTTTACCGACTCCCCATTCTCCCTCTCCTTCTTGCTCTCTCCCTCGTACATCACACGCTCAACGCACCCTTCCACTCACTTGCACATTCCTTGACGATGTTCTCCTTCACCAAAGCCATCACCTTCGCCACCTTGGCCGCAAGCGCTCTCGTATCTGCTGTCCCCGTCGACCTCCCCGTCGGCCAGAGCGCTGTCTCTGACCTTACCGACCTCGTCGAGAAGCGTCAGTCTGGCGACCTTCTTTCCATCGTTGCGGACCTCCAGGTCTCCATTGCGCCTGCTGTGACTGAGCTCAGTACGTTTGTCCCTAATCCTCGGAAGCGACGATTTACTGATCGCTTGCATCGTTTACTTAGCCTTCATCACCGCCGCCAATGCCACCGCCGATGTCATCACCCCCATCGTCTCTGAAATCACCACCACTGTGCAGTCCACCGTCACCAGCATCAAGGCTCTCGGCAACTCCACTGTCAGCGTCGCCGCTGAGGACATCTCCAAAGCGCTCGCTGGTGTCATCTCTGTGCGTTATCCCCTTCGTGTCCCATCCCCTCTTCGAGCTCAGTCGGCTTACGACGGATGACTTTCTTAGACTGTTGCCACCCCCGCTGGCAACATCCTTGCCCTCGAGGGCATTGACGTCAACGCCGTCACCGCTGCTCTCTCGCCCCTCGGGTACGTTTATCTCTCCCTTAGTCCCTTACGATCGTCTAACTGACCATTGCTTTCCGCACCTCCAGTGACGTCCTCGGCAGCCTTGTCGATGAGGTCCTTGCCCTCGTCGGTGAGATCCTCGACGTCGTCAAGCAGACCCTCGACACCCTCCTGGGCGGCCTTTCCGGCATCCTCAGCGGCCTCGGCTTCACCGGTCTCCTTGGCCTCCTCGGCCTCTAAAGGGCTCGTTGTTTGCTGCTGATGTACCCCTCTCCCTTCTTATATCCGATGCTGCTGTCTTTCGTACCACATACACTCTTTACATACTAGTATTGGATCGTCCCTCCTTTACGCTCGTGATACCAAGCACTGTGTTATACCAGTAATTTAAATAATACTCCTGGAACATCTCAACTATTGTGCGTGCGATAACAAGTGGTCGAGGCAAGGAAGTTGGCTTCTTGGCGGTTTGGAACAACCACTGGCACTCGCGCTCTTGTTTCGAATGAGACACGCATTTGCAAGAACTGAGGTTTTTCCGAGGCATTGTAAACTGACCTCACGGTATCGCACGAAAGTTGAAACAAGAGTTTGGGAGCGAGTGCGGAGAGCGAGCGTGAAATCAAGGCTTGCCATGGTCGGACGTACCCGGGAAAAGTCAGGAGAATCGGACGCCACCGGAATCCTTATTTTCAGAATGGCGCCACCTACATTTCAGCGCTCAGCGCTAAGGCCTTCACGTTCAAGTTGAAGGTCCCCCTCCATGTCGCTGTCTGTGGCCAATATCATTTCTCTGTTGCCCTTGTCGAAAAGCTCTCCCTGATCTCTGTGACTCGTCATCATGGGGCGCGTAAAAAGGAAACCAACAAACTAGGAATAACCTGCGGTCTGTCACGGCTGGCGGCTCCTGACATCAACTTGAACATTCGACGACTCAGGACATGCTCGTCTACCTTTTGAAATCTAGTACCCTTGGTTTATCTATGCTCTCGCTCTCTGGTCATAGATGATAGCTAGTGTGTGCGAATGCTGTTCGCGTATCTCGCACGGCACCGTTTGCCACCGCTGTTCCTCGTAGTCTTCGGTGCGGATATCGCCCTGGAAGTTCCACTGATATAGACCAGCAATACAGGTACTGGCTTTATCTCATACGCAAGAGTGCTTCGAGGTGCAGAGAAGGTGCAGAGACCTCTGGAGTGTAGTTGACGTGGCACCCGCGTAATCATTGGTGTGGCGTTCAGCGCCACACTGGTGAAACACTACGCCAGTGTTACCCGCCAAGAGGATTAACAGTCGCTGAAACCGCCGTGTGGACAACATGGGGGAAGAAATGGTACATCATCAGACATAGCTATGCGTCTGGGTGGTGAAGGTCGTACAGCGTGTTCTGACACCACCTCGTCCGCACTTCGACGGGGGCCTATACCGTAGAATCCGAGGTCATAGAGGGATCTTATGGGAAAGAAAGCTTGTCTCTGTATCCCCGTACCCGATGTCCCAGAGAATAGCCCAGGGTGCTCGCTCTCTGGCTGCAAAGTGACACAATCGATACCATACGGAAACCGTTACGGACACGCATGCGACTCAACGTGGCTTCCCCTCTCGGTCGGGGACCCATTGTAGGACACCACCCAAAGAACGCCCAGAGGTCACCAGAGGTTAGTTGGCTATCGAGAGATTAGAATCTTCACTGACCTTACGGACCAGTTTTCAGAGTGTCGTCCATACTTCACCCTCAACAGACACAAGTCAGTAAAGATCCCCGTTCTTCTGGCCAACGAAACTTCACTGAACTCACCACAGTGGCCAGCTCCTCCATTCGTTTACGGTTAATCGCATTGGAGAGTCATGCGTCAGCTTCGGGCAACCATCCATCCATGAGCATAGGTCAAGATTAACAGCAGTGTCAGAGGTCAAAGCAAACCCGCGTCGGTGTCGGTGTCGCGTCGACCCGGTCACGTTCGCGCGTCGCTCATGTCCTCTGTTGTTGTCTACTGTTTACGCGACTTTTGAACCGGCGCCACAACCGCGTCCTTGAAGAACCATTGCCTTGTGTCGCCCTTCCCTTTCACCAACCTTTCTGATCCCCTCCACTGGCACCAAACTCTCCCACTTTTCTCCTTTCTTCCTTCATACGAAGAATTTACCAAATGGACCCAAACCTGCCCGCGACCGATGGCTTCTTCGGCCTATCCTTCTTGAACGCGTGAGTGCAAAGTGTCTGATTACATCGCGCGTGTCATCTCATTGTTGCCCTCTTCTTTCCCTGGTGTCACTCGAACTTCGGTCACTAGCGACAATATGCTGGACACTGGGTGAGCACACAATGCTTTCGGATGGATGATGTTCCCCGTCCTCGTTCTCATATTCCTCGATTAGCGACATTGTCAACATCGAGGAACCTACCGCACCCACGGATAACCAAGAGTTCAACTATTGGTATCCGGAAGCTCATCCACAGATCGATGAGCCCTTATTCCGCAACCCGGCCGATGTCCAGCGGTGAGTACCAGCCTCGAACAATACACGGACATCCATATGGTGCTAACTTGACACCCCCAGAGTACTCGACGACCGGCCTGCAGAAGATAGGACACCGGTCCCTAACCAACAGAGTACTAGTAATGCCTCTCCAGAATTGGCGTTGGCTGAGTAAGTTATGCCCCTTCATTGCCCGTTCATAGCTACTCTACGACGTCTTTTCGATGGTCTTAATCACCCATATATTTCCATCAGAATGGCCTCGTACATAAACTGGGACGGGACTCGACCAGCGCCGAAAACCTCGTCGACTGTGTTTAAGTTTGGCGAAGACGAATATCGAAAGTGGGTATTGCGGGCTTCATCGGTTCATCTTGAAGTGGAACTGACACCTTGACGCAGTTTCACGTTCCCAAACCCACCTTCGTCTGGGGGAAAAAGAGAGTTCACTGGCTCGTTCCCCACCCACTTCAACCAGAGGCCAGAGACAAGGTAGCATTGTTTGCGTTATATCTCGCGACTGGCCGTCGTTTATGCTGACGTGGTGTTTTCACCGTGACAGGAACGCTGCAGAAAGTTCCTCGGAGCCTTTAAAATCACCCTCTCAAGTCGTGCCCAAAGGAGGAGAAACGTTTTCCTCCCATGCATCCACTTCCGACGCCAAGGACGAGGCTAATCAGACTCAAGATTTAATGGCAGATGTCATACTCCTGCATCCCGGCGACCGCCTCTCAGGCACTTGCCTGTGGTTGGATCAAAATGGGGAGCCCTGCAGCCAAGTCATAGAGTGCACCGCATCGTCCAAGTTGTCTACTTGGCGTGACCACTGTCTATCGAGACATTCTCTGCCAGCCCTGGTGAAAACCCCAGTAGAAGGCCGTGCGCGCAAGACCTCGAAGACGGCGCGCAATACCTCGGAGACGACACGCTTCGTTACATCTCCCAACTGCCAATGGAAAGACTGCTCAGGCTCAGCTTTAACGACCGTGTCCGCTCTGGAAAAGCACGTGACGGCTCATCTGGGCTTTCACAAGTGGACTTGCCGCCGTTGCGGCAAGACCTTATCAAGATGTATACCTTCGTTCGTCGCGCGGCACATGAGATCGTGCAAAGGGAAGGAACCGCCCTCTGAGCCCGCTCCAGAGGAGAGGACTAACAAGAGGCGCAGGATCGAATGAAATATGGTACGTGTCTATATACTATCGCTTGCTTGGCCTCTCATCTACGATGCCTGCCCTTAGCATTGTTGAGCTTCGTTTCGAACAAGTCCCCACGACTCTATCGAGTTTCAAATCAAATCGGATCCATTGGGACGCCTAGTACCGCTATCTCTCGGTCTCATCGTTCTCTTGGGCTAATCCTTGCCGCGCGTCACTCCATCGAAGCCATTTGTTATGTTGTCCTTTATGTCAGTCTATTGTTATGTCCTGCTTTTGTGTACTGCTTTTCGCCCTCTGCCTGGCATATTACTTGCAATACTTGATACTTGCAATATCACTGTTTCTCGGCTCGCTGTAACTCACACCGTTGTGATTCGCTACCAATTGTAACTGTGTGCGGGTAACGAGTCCGACTCTCCCCCCACGGTGGAGAAGCGCGTTACTCTGAAATTTCGCGAGTAGTGGACTGTTTGGCGGAACAAACGCTCCAGCATTGACTTACTGGTAGCCGAACGACCCCTACTCTATGGTAAGATGGCCGAGAAATGCAATATCGAAAGATAAATTCCCCTACGCCTGTCCACTCATATCCTGCCTTGAGAAAAATTTTGCACAGTGAGATACAATATAACCATTGCATAGCAAACTATTTTGTCGATAGCGTGAGTTCGTGGAAGTGGAGAAAAGCAGAATCGTCTTGAAGTCTGAACGGCGCCTTCTCTGGCGGGGAGGTTCTTGCATCGGGTACCGTCGAGTCATACGTGCATATCAAATCGTAAAATTAACTGGGGGCAGCAAGTGGATCATTTAACACAACATCAGCCACATACTGTATTTCACGCACCTTTGCTCACTATGGGTCGTCGACGCTGTCGACGACGACGGCAATGCAAGACGCGGCGCTTAAATTGCTCGGAAACCCTCCGACGGCTGGCCCCAATTGGCAATTACAAGGTTCGCCGGCCCTATGAGCGCCTGCAGAAGCGGTTGAACGCCACTGCTCCTTATTAGCTTCTTGTACTCGTACCACGACTATCCCAGACATGCGTTGCTTCTCTCAGACCTGTTGCTCTATGCTCGCCGCCATGCTCGCTATTATCTGGTTTGGCGGGTTGAAGTGCCAGGCCGTAAAGTTCTCAGACGACAACCGAGAGGCGTGGTTCGAGTACATGGAGACTCGGTTTCGGGATGAACATGTCCCTGTGAGTCGAATGGTGTCGTACGCTATTGAGAAGGGGCTGGCAGATATACCAGAACTGCAAGGCGTGATGGAAAAGCGTGTGGCTGCACTTGAGCAGGTAGTCAGCGACGGAGATGAGTTGCATTCCGGTGGCGTTACCTGGGAATGGTTCAAGGATGAGACTACGCGTCTTTCTGGTGAGGATTTGACTGTTCCTTGTCTCTAAGTATCGTTCCATTAATGTGCTCACATGTTTCGTCCCTCATGCAGAAATCTCCAAGATTTGTAAGTGCTAATATTCATAGTTATCCTTTCAAGCGAGCTGACGACATTCCAAAGTTCGGGAGCTCATGTCTTCACACACGGGAGATGATGAAGCGTTGTCTGGCACATATATCCCGTATGACGATGACATGGACTACCAGTCCGCAGACCCAGTGGATGGTCACGTTGATACCTCCACTACCAAGTCCCACTCTCGATCTCTCAACAAACACAACCCAACCGACACTGCAACCCTCCCCACGCTCGATGACATCCGTCGCTCTCTCTCTGCTGGGACCGAGAGCGGATCAGCTCGAATTACGGAGATGTTCCGGTCAATGAAAGACAAGGTCCTAGACCAGGTTGATGGGCTCCCAGACGCGGTTCGTGGTGCCATCGCTCAATGGGATCAGTATAGGGCGGAGCATCCACACGTAGTAGTTGCGGGGGCCATTTTGACAGTAATTGGAGCTGTTATCCTCCTATACGGTCCCAATGAGCTCGCGTTGTACTTCCTCCGTATGCTGGGATTCTCAGAATTGGGCCCTATCGCAGGTCAATTCCCATATCTTGATTTTGATCATTTGTGGCTTCTGTTCTTATTCCATGCTCTTTATGTCCAGGTTCGTGGGCCGCGCGCATCCAATCTAACTTCTACGGTCCCTCCACTCGCGGAATCTTCTCCCTCATCCAATCTATCACAATGAAGGCCAAGTCTGTGTCCCAACCTGTGGCCAACTTGCTCGGTCTCTCAGAACTCGCGGCCAGCATCCAAGGGGCTCTTATGATAATATTTAGAGCTGGTAGTCTAACACTTGGCCATGCCATCGGTTCTTTTCTGCGGATGCTGGGGTTCTCCGACTTGGGCCCTGACGCAGGTCAATCACCGTCTCTTTCTTTTGTGCATTTGTGGCTTGATTCCTTACTTTCTGCTCTTTATGCTCAGGATCGTGGGCTGCGTCCTTTCAATCCACATTTTACGGGCCCTACACAAGCGGCCTCTTCTCCGCTATCCAGTCTAGCACCATGTCTGCCAAATCCGCGTGGCCCGACATCGGTATCTCCAAACTCGCGGCCAGCACCGCCGACTTCTCTCGTAACACCATATCCAGCCTTGTTCACCAGTGGAAAGCGTCCGACGTACATGGAACTGTGCCCTTACCCGACATGTCAGTACTGGTCGACGGTGGTGTGGCGAGTAAGGAGCTCTTGAAAACCTGGATGATGAACGGCAGGGGTTAGGTACCGCGGGCGGGGGTTCCTGAGGTTCAACGACACGCTGTGTTTCAGTGGATGCATAGGGAGATTGAAGGTCATGCGTAGGCATAAGTGCAGTATTCAATGCTGTAAGATTGTGTTTCTCATGAGTCCGTCATGCATGTTGGCGGCCGTCCGCTTTGATCACCTCTGTACCATGGGTGTCACCGTATAGGACAGTGTTGTTCGCCATCACTTTCTTGATTTCATCCTCTTCTCTTTTCAGATATACCCCACTTTCCGTGATATTTACTTGGGCGGTTCATACAATGAGGCTCCCTTGTAGTCACTCTTACTAGTATGTACAGTGTGGCTCCGAGTCCTCGTTTGCCATTATCCCTAAGAGTCGCGGCTTTTATGGCCTCTTGTAGTGTCACCTTGCTTGCAAGGTCTCTGGACATCCACAAATCGTGGGAAGAACAACGCAGCATCAACCGGCGTTCCCCGGTACTCCCGGCGTTTGCCGTTTATGCTTCAGTCTTGCCGCTTGCGTGAAACGCGCATTCTTGTCCTCTATGTTTTTTGCTCCAAAGGCATCCTCGAGACGATATTACCACCACATATGTGAAATTACGGTTGCTATTGTGCTGTTCACTATGTCCATTGCTCAGTCTACCACAACCTAGTGTGCCCAGTCTGCCAGAGTCCGAAACTGTGCACGGTGCCTGGTCAAGAACAGTTTGTTGTCAAAACTCCAAAGTAACCGAACAATGAACCCAATAGGTTTATGACGATAGCATATTCCAGTTAATGTGGCTGATAATTTGTGTGGCATGTCAATTTGTGTGGCCCAGTACAATGAGCACGTACATTTGCATGTAACGAAGCACGGCCATTGACCCAATAATATCGGCAATGTTAACGAGCCGGAGATATTCGAAATACATTGTTTAACTTTATGAATGGGAAACTGCACATGTACCAAAGTAAATATTTCAAGCAAGGTGTCCGGCGACGAAGTCGACACTTCCCCCAGTATGAGATCGTCTCCATAAATGGTTTTAATCGTAGCCTCTCCTTTGACTCCGCAGTAAGTATGAGAGTGCGCAAGGGCAAGCAAGGGCTTTCAATTGAATTTGAGTGGCGGTGGCGAGGCGGGCACCTCGGAAGGCCCGGGCGAAATCGGAATTCGATCACTCGAACTGATGCATGCTACATAAGTTACATGAACTGGGGGAGCGCTACCTTCGGCAGCAGCCACCTTGCTTGGTAAATAACTTGCACAAGCACTTCTGGTCTGCTCTATACCGCATGTTCTTGAACGGGATTGGGAGTGCTTACGCCGTGCCCGGCGGGCCCAGACATTGTCAACATTCTGTGATCCAGTCAAGTTGACTCGAGATTCCTCCAAGGCAAAGCAGAGGCCGATGAACCCAAATGTCAAGGCAGCGAACGGTATGGGCCCTCATTGCGTCCGACGGCAAGTTATCCGTCTAGCGCGAGACTGATTCGTGAACATCAACGTCTGCATTTGAATCGCTGCAGTCACGTCTGAAAGTAGACCCTCTGCGGCGCCACACACCGGTGCCACATAATAAGTCCGCTGTTTGTCCTTATTTATTTCCGGGACGATTCTGAGGAATTACGGGGGTAGGAAGGACCTTCAAGCAAGGTAACATCTTCCTTCAGCCTTCAGCTTCCATGCCCAGTTGAAAGAAGGTGGGTGAAGGTGAGTCTATATTTTCACTGTATTCACGGCCTCTTCGAGTTGGTCCAGGACGATTTTTGTCAGTACTCTCGGACGGACACGACCTTGGGCTCTGGTACCTGGTGGCTTTGTGGCATAGACGTCGGGATATTCGGACAGGCTCTCTTCCACTCTGACCGTCTAGCTCCGTTATGTGCGATGTCGCGGTGCGCATTGCGCTAAGATGAGCCGCTGAACCGTGTCCATCGTCCGCGGGCTGTAGCAGCAAGATTGGGCTCTTCTCGTTTTCCCTGTGGGTATGGGAGTATCTAACCCGTTTAGGGCTGGCACTCACTCATTTCGTTTCGGGAATCTATTGAATTCGAAACGCTGAAACCAAGAGATCTGTGGCCCTGACACTGTCAAAAGTTACCGATGTTGCCTGCGACAGCGGCGATGTTCTCGCCGTCTAGTCCGTTCCCCTGCCCAAACAAGTAGCTTAGTCGGAGGCCGGTGAAGGTTGGGGCCCTCTAGGGGCAATGGCTCGTCAGCTTCGCGATGTTGTGTTTCAGCACCATCAGCACGCTTTTGCAGTGCCAGATCATGACCTCGGCGTCCTGTTAGAAGGTTACCATTTTTTTCGGCCTCAAGTTCTCAGAGGCGTACACGATAGGCAGCTATCGAACAGAAACAGGTCGCCGGTGTGACCGCCCAGCATGATATATCGGTGGTAACTCCATGGAGATAGATGGGTTTCCAATCAATCTCTATTTGAGCTGTCTTGCTTTCGAAATTGACGATACCGCCAAATTTGGTAGACAATACGGTTGCTTTTCGGCACATCGTATTATTCCTGCAGTTCAGCCCATAATGACCCGCTTCATGGCCAGTTCTGTTTTGTCCTCCCATTTGCCTGATATCTTGGTGCAGGATTATTATCAAACACCTCAGGTTGTCTCAATATGCCAGATTTCAGGCGTTCGTCCGGGTATTGCGTATTCCGCCGATCTACTCTCTTCGAAGGCCATAATAGCAACCTTAAGTACGATCGAACGCTTACGGCAAACGTCAGAATGGACGCCTGTCGAGGAGCCACGGTGCCACAGAAGTGGCGACCGTTATGGACTTTTGACAAGCGCATCTGGTGTGATGTTGTTTTCCTTTGCTAGCATACCTCACAGGCATACGATAAAGCAGCGTCCTCTGGGTTAATTTTGGGCTGTCTATCCACTGGATTTGCGCACCTTCCGGGTCAGTAATCCCCTCCTGGAACGGTAAGAATCAGTATAGGGCTGCTCGGTTCAAGGACTCCAAATGATGGGAAGCCTCATTTTACTCCCCGATTGATGATCCACCATCCAAGCACTGACAGCTATTCACTTGTCTTTGTCAAGAGTAGGCTTGACCCTACAATTTCATCCTAAAGTGACAGCCCTACGGCATAACGCTCCACATCATGCTCGTGGAACATTTCACGCTCGGAAGAGACCGTGTGCCAATGACGATGCCAGTTTGACCTCGACGACTTCCAAGGTCCCGCCGAGGTATAAAGCTCTTTGAAGCTCGTGGGTTCATTCCTCACCTCTCAGGCTCATAGCACTTTCGCTTCCCTCAGAGTCCCACAATCTTTTGACCCCTTCTCCCGAGCTTTACCTCTCACTATCACTCTCTTTTGCCACGATGTTGTTCTCCATCACCAAAGCCGTCTTCGCCACCCTTGCCCTCGGTGTCGCCATGACCTCCGCTGCTCCCACCCCGACGAACGCTGTCTCCAGGCGCACGAATGCTACTGGCGTTGACGCCGTGAAGACCCACGCAGCTAATGTTAAGAGCGGTTGCGACCATCTCAGTATGTATCATGTTCCTTATATTTGTCCCAGAACGTACTGACCATATCGCGTTGTTTAGGCGGTCTCTCTCCCAAGGAGGCGGCTGATCCCACCATGGTTACCACCATTGTCGTCTCAATTAACGCAGAGCTCGAAGCCGTGAAGAGCGCATGCCAGGGCTCCTCCTCCGGCGACTCCAGCGACCTTATCGATATCATGGTAGACCTCGTGGCTGTACGCGTTCACTCCATTTTAGAGGTAATAATATGGGCACTCACAGGCTGGCTGCGATACGCATTGTTGTCTAGGAAATCACCAGCGCCGTCAACAAGTGCAAGGAGACGTCAAAGAATGACCCCACTATAATTGCCATCCTCGCCAAGATCGAGTACGTATCATTTCACCTCGAACCTTTCTTCGCGCATACTAGACTTTGCATTGACCACTCACACACTCTCTCCTTCTCCCTTTGACATATAGTATCTCACTCAGTGGATTACTCACGGCCATCACAAACCTCGTCTCCACCCTTCTCAATGACATTGATAACCTCCTTAGTGGACTCCTCGGCGGTGGGGTTACCGACTCTCTCTGGGGCTGTGGGTTCAAGAAGTCGTACAACGTCTTGGTGCACATCGGGCTCAGCATCGGGATCAACCTCTAAGATCGCACCGAGAATCCGAAATACCTTTCCCTCAATCCCTACCTCCCTACCTATCACTCCCTACTCCCTCTCTCTTTAGCTGCTACCTACTCTACTGCCTCTACTCTTCTCACCCCAGCTACCCTACCCTCCCGTTCTCCTTCACCACGGTGCCAATTCCCAGCGGTCGAGTGAGGGCGAGTCGACCGGTGCGTTGATGATCAAGGAGACTATGGTTATGGCTACGTCTGAGTGTAGAACGTGAACGGACTCGTCGATTGCTTGCTTTTTATCTTTGTTTGAGCCGTTATCGTTATCGTCATTCATTTTGTTTTCGTTTACCTTAAAAACGCATACTGCTATCCTCGCGTATTGGCAGGTGACGGTCAGGACTTTGGGAAGGACTACACTGGCACATATTTGAATACTTGCGGCCTGTATGAGCATTCTCTGTCATTTATCCCTAACTTTGAACAGCAGCTGTGTCATTCCTGAGTCCTGACGGCAGGCCAGTTGCGCAACATTGTCATGGAGAACGGTTCTGACTCAGAGGATCGAAAATCCAACGACAGATGCAAACAACTATCACCATAGAACAACGGAAAACAACCGACAAGACTTCTCAAGGGGGGCTGACAAAAATAATTCTACACCGGGACTCGATTTTTCTCTTAACGGCCATCCGGGTTGAACTAACTAACTACGTAATCAGGCACATACCCATATATGGAAATACACGTGTCGGGGTTGCGTGGCTTCAAACGCCACAAGATCTCTCGGTTGCCACACTTCCATCAACTGTAAGTCCTGACGTCTCGCACACTTCTATCTTCTTCTAATGTAGCAGCAACTGACTGGGGGCCTTGTATGCGACTATTGGATCACTTTCTCAGTTGACTACGGCTAAATCTACCTCGAATTACCTTGTCATTCACTGTCCCCGACGCCTCTTTCCCTTCGAGCAAGACCGACATGTAAAGACTTGCGGAACCACCTCGAGGTCCACGCAGGAGAGATGTTACTAGTCATGGTGGGTGTCAGGCTCACAAATACGGGGACATGTTGCATATTCACTCACCCATTGCGTCTCGCAGCCACTCGCCTTGCATCGCACGACATCTTCGGCCTTTGCTACTTCCGCATCTGTCACATGCTCGCCACATATGCACTCCGACAATGTTGTCAAGACCTCCACCATCCGTTTACGGCCTGAGCGAGATGGTCGACTGCTGGCAACGTCACTTGGAACGTCACCCGAGATGGTGGTGGTCTCAGAAACCGAGATAGTTTGTTGAGTTCGGGACGTCGTGGGGACACATGAAGTGCCACCCATAGTGGCATTGTCATGATCGTTGACAATGTCTTGAACAATATCAGGTGCGTCTGGGTTGTCAGTGGTCTATAAAATCAGTATTAGCTGACGTCGACCGCACTGGGAGTGCATAATCATATTAGATGTCCCACTCACCTTATCGAAAACATGCGTGTCCTCCGGTTCCATCTCGCCCCTATCGCCCCTATCGCCACCCTGTCCTCCATCACCTGTGCCCTGCCCAGCCGCACCAGACGACTCGTCCTCAGCATCCTGCCACACATTCTCAGCTTCTTGACGGAGATCCTCCGTCTGTCCGTTCTTGTCCTTACTGCGAACCTGAGGACTTTCCACGGGTGCGTACAGGTCTTCCGCGAACTCTTCCCCGTTGTCATCTTCATCATCGTCGCGTCCATCGTCTATTTTATCCCCTTCCTCGCTGTTCGCACCCTCCATATTGCCGTCAATGCTTTCCGTTTCACCCATGTCGTCGTCGTCATCTTCTTGTGTCTCTCCGTCAATGTTGCTGATCATCAACTCACGCGCATTGCTATTTCGTTCATCAGCATCAAAGTCTCAATGAACAGGACCGAATACGAACTTTAATGTAGCGCTCGCACTATGTGCTTCGGAGATCACCAATCTCGGTACGACTGGTGCGTTCTTCTTCCTCCGAGTAGCCTTCTTCTTCTGGCGATTGTTCCACAACGCCTCCATCTTCTCCTCCTCGAAGTTCGTCAGCACCTAAAGCTTCTGATACTGCGGACTCGCAACATTTGTGGGATGCGTGTTCTCGAAATGTACCCTCATGTTATATCGCCAGACGGCTGGACTACCTTCTGGGCATATGGGGCAGCGAAGAGGGGCGTTCGAGCATGGTGAAGATGAAGCGGAGTTCGCTGCAACGGCCCAAGAGAATTTGGCGAAGTTCGGACAGGTAATACCTCTCGGTATGATGGTGTAGTTCTCGGCTTCCCCCTTCGTTTTTCGAATGTGGTATTTGCATATTGCAGCGGGGCGAAGGCACATTCTGCATAGCTCGAGGCGAAGATCGAGCGTGTTGTCCTTCAAAATATGTGCAGCGATATGCGCTATGATCGTTTGAGGGTGCTTTCGGTCGAGCTTCACTAGAGGTGAGCAATTCGGGCAGGTGTGAGGGATAGTATCGTGTATGTCCGAGCTGCCGTCCGCTAAAAAGCAGGCGTGACCTGTTCATGAGTTGATTCATCGTAAGTATGTACATCCAGCTCGATAATCCAAGTTGTTGTGATGCGCACCTGCCCTCTCACGGTATGGAAAGTCTGCGCTGACCTTGGCTGTCGGCACTTCTCGTAGTCGCATACGAGGTAGCCTGTCTCTAAGACTGGAAGCCAGAGCTCGCAAGGAGCCACTGTCAAATAGGAGGCGGGGCGACCCTGAAGTGTACAGTGAGGTTGGAGGGTTGATCGGCTGAACGAGTATTCCGGGCACTGTGAACGTGTACGGAGGAGGGCGAGAAGATCGCCAGTCGTTCTTCGCAGTCGGGTCATCGTCGGTGGTGGCAGGAACAATGTGCAGGATCTGGTACGAGATACGGACGGTGGATTCGGGCAGCAAGTTGAGGGCCACACGTTGTCTGGTCTTTGAGTCGACCGAAACACTATTCACCTCTCCAACGCAGAGGAAGTACTTTTCCTCGCAGCGTACAAGGCTGGGAACTGGGTCGAAGATCGAGAGGCACGGTCCTGTATGGTCCTCCTCATCTGCTATGCCAGCGACAGCTCGATACCGATCCTCCTGTGCCACTCTCCTTAATCGGTCGGTCGAAGACGAGGATTTTTGATACTTGAACCTCTGAGCAAGTGCTCGTGCTTTGTTGACGGGTTTCCCATCGACTGTGACCGCCCTTGAGAACCTCTTCGGATCACCTGAGGTATTCCAGTCAATATCTCCAGCAACATCCTCGAGCTGCCGTAGACCATCGAGAGCATCCGACGCTGAGAGATCGTCGTCTGGACGCCGAAAATCGTCCTCGTCGTCATCTTTGTTGTCATCGGCTGCGAGCGGGATCTTGAAGAGAGGGATGTCATAAGGAGCGAGGATTGTAGTTTTGGGATTAGTCCGAAGGCGTCTGAGGGATGGTGTTGCGAAGGAGAAACGCTCCTCGATGGTTCATCGTCCGCGCTTCCAACATGTACTAAGTGTATGCCGTTGCGGATTTCGTGGCCAGTTTGAAGTTTCTGTTGCATATTCTTCCAACTTAGCTTCAAGAAGAAGGGACGCGCAATGTTGACCAGGCGGAGGTTAACTTGCTTGCATACGGACCGGATCCCGACATACTCGCGTCAGGGGTATGTCGCCTTCGCTCTTTCCATCATCAGGAGATAAACTTACCATCTTCCCATTCCCTAGATGCCAAAACTTTCCTATCAGACCTTTGTCGTCAATCCGACCGTGGACTCCCTCGCACCGGCCCTCCAGCAGTCTGACGAACATATGAAGTCAGCACAGACCCTTCACAAGGAGTGTCGGAAGTGGGCCAAGCGAGCGAAGGCCTCCATGCCCTACTTCCGTGGCGACTTCGATATTGCTGAGCTCGCGAGTCGTCCGAAGAACTCGTTGAAGGAGATCAAGAGGCTGAAGGTGCTGAAGGTGCTGATCAAGGATTCCCTCGCTCATCAGGAAGCACAGGCTACCACGGGTGCTTGGATCGACAAGCATAATCGTCTCGCCGCTATCGTACTTTCCGACCGTATTCTTCCGCAACATCCTCCGGCCAATCCTCCGTCCAAGCCTGATGCCCCACCTCTGCCGTGTCCTACAGCACAAAAACAACGTGATCCATCCGATTTGCACGAGTATATCCCTTCGACAGCCGACATCGTAAGTCAATTTCACCTCTGCTTCCCTTCGTATTTTTCTCCCAACGCTCATCTGTGTCTATCAGCATCCCATATACGAACAATACAAGAATCGTCGAGTCGCGGACGTAAACACCGCGCGAGCAAATGGCCAGTCTGTCGTTCGTGATGGATTCTCGGTACGATCCCTTGGTCCATCGGTTTCGAGTCGGTAGCTAATCTGTTCTGATTCCAGGGAGCAATTCTCGAGCGCGCTGTCGAAGCTGCTCAAATATTTCACGCCCATAACCTTCCCCATTGTGCCGAGCGCGATATACGCCATGTCGAAAACAACCACAAAGACCTTCGATTGATGCCGTTCGACGAGCCAATGCTCAATGACGTGCCCCTTCCTCTCCCTAGCCCATCATCGAATCCTACCGAACTACCCCCAGGCGATTCACCATTGAGCGCGATCGAATCTGGTGACGAATCTGATGAGGAGGAGGATACACCCTTTGATGTCTTATATGGGAACGCGAGGACGGGGTTGGAGGAAGGCGGGATGAGAAGCATGGAGTGCAACGATAGTGGAGGTGCTGCTGCGAAGAAGTCAAAGAAGGCGGAGAGGACAGGTGCTACCCATCTTATCCACGGTGGTGCTATGCAAGGGCGGAAGACGGCGGTGAGCATTTTACACTTTTTGTCGTCTTTGAACTCGTCTATAACGACGACTTGCGTTTTCTGGACAAGATGTACCATTCTGCCGATTTTGGCGACACCGTCACCAGGCGCCAAGTCGCGACATGGTACTTCCTTGCGACGGATCCCATTGCTGTTCGGATTGCAGCGTATTTCGAAGTCTTTTGGCCTCGCTTCTACGCCAAATATCGGCAAGCGTTCGATGCTGGAGTGTGGGTCCGTGAGGATCGCGGGCCTTTCCTCGGGCGTGTCTTGGTCTATAAACTCCAGGTCAGCCTTCGTCAAGATCGCGGAGACTTCGGGCTCACCGTCACATTCAATGCGGGGTGTTTCGAAGGTGGCGAATACTACTTCCCTGACTTACACGCCAAGCTTAGGTGAGTCTCTTCTCGTATTTACCTGTGCCATCGATACTGACTCGCAACAGATATGCGCCGGGCGATATTGTGATCGCCCTCAGTGGTATTCTGTATCACTCTGTTGCAGAATGGCGCCCTGTCCCAGTTCCCGACTCTTGGGTCAGAAGGAATTTAACGCCTGGTCGAATCTCCCACGTTTTTTTCTTTCCAAAGAAGTCGTTTCTTACCCTGGAAAATAAACCAAAGTTCTGGGCTCTTCGAACTGCAGGCGGCAAATGTCCCGACGCCCAGTGGCTCAGAACTATTGCGTGAAGGTACGCTTTCATTTTTGCGTCTTCTCGTCTGATACAGGCTTATTCACACTCACACATAGATCGAATGTACATATTTTGTTGTTATGCTCTGTGATACCGTCCCCTTGTCGCCCTTTCGCGCAAGCCTAATCAGTGCCACATGTGTTTACCCCACCTTTCGATGTCTCCGAACTGATCAGATCGATTGCTCGAAATTATTCACCGTGGCACCTTTTGGATGCGGATCTCTTCCTTTCGTTCAACGTCCAACTAGGCTAGACTTGAAGTCGCGATATCTGCGTCCGTCCGCATGGTGTCCAACTGGAGCAAAACACTGTGCTGCGAGACGATATGCTCACGACAATGCAAGTTCATGATACATGCTACATCGAATCTCGAACTTTGAGCGGAGAGTTCGACTTACGAGGAAAAGTGCTGTCTCACATCGATAGTAGATCCGCCGGACACTCTGAGCGACACCGAAAGTGCGGAGTGTACCACGCGGGTGGTTTGGATATGAATTTGCAGTGTAAGTAGTGAATATGGTAAACACGGGCCCCCGAAACAAAAGCAAGGACGAGTAAAACAAATGAGGATTCGAGGACGGATGTATGAATATAGGTACTTGAATTACATGCGCTGAAAGGATAGCACGCTGGACATCAGCCAATCGTTGTAGATGGACTGTGCCAGGACGTGATAATACAGGGATCCGACATCATTACAGGAAAACATTAAATGCGGAACGATAACAAAAACGAACCACGAAAAAAGGAGAACACGAACGAGAGATAACGAAACAAAAAAGGGGGAGAAGGTGAGTAGTAGTCTACTTACATTGACCACAGGTGATGAAAAGACAACACGCTGGACGTCAGCCGATCGCGGTAGATGGACTGCGCCAGGACATGGTAATAAGTAAGGTGCACCAAAGTACTCCGAAAAGAAGGCGAATGCAAATAATTATAAAAAAGGACGAGAAGAAACAGACCGCGAAGATGAAACAAAGATATGAGAAGGCGGTGAGGCGAGTAATACATGTACATTGACCACAGGTGCTGAAAATACAACACACTGGACACCAGCCGATCGCTGTAGATGGACTGTGCCAGGGCATGGCCGTGTGTATGGGATCACTACCGAGAGAGAGATAAAAAGAGCCGCAAAACGAGGGAAAGAGCAAATCACGAGAAAAAAGGTGGGTGAAAGAGGAAACAATAGGGACACGTAGACCACAGGCGTGGATGGGTAACGCGCTGGACACAGCCGATCGTTGTAGATGGACTGCGCCAGGACATGGTCGTGTGATCGCTACCGAAAGAATAAAAAAAAGAGCAGCCGAACGAGAACAAAAGAGCAAAGCACGAGAAAAAAAGTGGGTGAAAGAGGAACTAGTACGGCTACGTAGACCACAGGCGTGAATAGGTCACGCGCTGGACACAGCCGATCGCTATAGATGGACTGCGCCAGGACATGGTCTTGTAACCGATACGAGGAGAAGAGGGATAAATGAGGGATAGCGAGCGTCGGTCACGCTGCGAAAGCAAAAAGAGAAGTGTGATCGAGCTGATAGGACGTGGTCGCAGTACGCGAGAGGTGGACCGACATTGCGACGTCGTAGGAGCAGAGAACACGTCTACGACTGTCAGATCCACGAAGACGGTCGAGTATGTAGAAACGCCACACGAGAATCGACTCGGAAGAGCTAGCTTCCGAAGCCAGCTGATTGCTGGCAATGGACTGGATCGGGGCATAGACCTCGACATGCGTATTGGTAAGCCAGGCAGGCCTGACACGCTCGGGGCCATTAGCTTGAAGTGGCGTGAACGGGCTATGATACGGTATCGTGGCCCAGGACGTTGCAGGGAACAAGACCGGCCGCAAAGAAACCGCTGAGCACTGACGAAGACTGTCCTGGCTGCGGCGGTATCCTCCTACCGCGACAGCAAATGCGAGATGCAGGGGCCTGGCAATGTGATCGACGAGGTCGAACTCAAGTCAGTGAATGGTGGCAACTAAGGATGAGGAAGCAACGGCGGTCAGAATAGGTGAGACGGGAGACGAAGGGGTAAGGGTCAAAGCAGATACGCACATGGTATGCTAAGCGTCTCACGGGGTATCGAATCCGAAGAAGAGGGCATTGACACTGGAGCGTGAGCAAGCGGGACGGCGACCGCTCAGCGGAGTTTGGCCAACGGGAGTGTCGACTTCGTCAACTGCGAGGTAGAATGGAATTATCGAGGCGGGGTCACTTTGGTCGTTGAATAGATGTTTGTTTTTGTAAACTAAAGTTTCGAAACGAGTTTCTACCGTCCGCTTGAGACCCGCAATGGAGCGTCGAGCCTTCGCGACATGTCGATAGACTACGGAGAAAACATCATCGCCCTCCGATGTACGAGGTGGGTCACGTTGAAAAACGGCCCATTCTGAGCGTGCAAATCGCACAAATATGTCTTGAGGAAGACATTCCAAGAATCGGGAGAGCACGATAATTCGGGTGAGGTAAAGGGTGTAGAAACAGAGCTCGGCTATGGCGGCGCGGCGTGATATAGCTTCAGGGCTGAGAGTCGCAGTGTCGATGGTGGCACCGAGCTCCTGGATGGCGAGGATGAGGTCCTGTGACATATTACTCTTGCGAGCTTCTTCTACTGTTTTGTTTGGCGAATATGCAAAATAGAGACCCCAACATGCGCTTACGCCGTACACGAGCTCCAGAGTCTGCGGTTCGGGCTTCGGGGTCTGATGTGGTCTACAGAAGAGTAGGTTCGACTGAATGAAAGAAATGAGAATAAGAGGGGAATTCTCAACGCACTTTCGCCGTACAAATATATCCCATACGTGCTCCAGTATGGAGAAGCGGGGAAATGCAAGCTCTTCAAATGCGAAAGGATTGTAATGAGTATTGTGTCTTGGTGTCCGGTACGAGGAGCGATGAAGTACTGCCGAGGGGATAAACAAGGGCTCTAATCTTGATAATGCCGCGTCAATAGAGGCGTCGAGGTCGTCATGGAAGGCACCTGAGATTCCTCAGTGAGTGAAGGGATAAGTAAAATTGAGTAGCTGCACTCACGATGGTTACAAAACTCATGAAGTTGGTGAAAATCCTTGCGAAAAGCAATGACAATATCATCGAGGTCTGGGTATTTATCGAGCGCGGCCAGCGTCATGAGATCATCAGGCTCGTCGCAGGACGATAGACCCAGCGCTCGGCCATAGGTATCAAGGCCCCCAAAACTAAACAGGGAATGTCTCCTCCATAGCCGAATGATCATAGCATCCCATACTGTGGACAGACGAGTTTGCTGGCGTTCGGGAAGTTGACCCCAAGGCACATGCGTGCGTTTAAACGTCATGCTGGTAACCGAGACATCAACGGGAGGACGAGTGGGGATTCCTGCCAAAGGATGAAGGGGAAGGGGAGTTGCGGCGGTATTGGAGCTTTGGATGGGGATACGGCGAGTTTCGATACGACCAGAGGTGCGAGCTGAAGGAGGAGCAGGAGCAGGAGCGTCAGGGGAAGTTGGGGCAGGGGCCGTGAAGATCGGAGAGGCAGGCATTGATCCACGAGCAGTGGGTCGTACGGGGATACAAGGGGGAGTAGCGGCTGGATTGCGAGGAGGAGTCGCTGCAATGTTTCTTCGCATACGATCTGCAGTCATCCTAAGAGAATAACGGCTCTGAATGATGATGTCTGGCCTGGTCGACGAATGGCTCGCGTGTTTCGAAGGTGACGGTGCCAGACGATAACGCTTTGCATGGGGTTCTTCGGAGACATCAACGTCGAAATCGTTGTCGACAGTGAGGTGTCGACGCTTCGTGAGGACGGGAGGCGGAGAGACGATTAGGGCGTGAGCCGGGGCTGGAGCGGGAATGGGAGCTAGGATAGTCGGATTGTGTGTTGCAGCGGTATTCCTTCTAACGCGATCTGCAGTGTTCCTGAGCGAATAACGGCTCTGGGTAGGGGCGGTCGCCCTTGTCGATGAACGGGTCTTACGTTTCGGTGGTGGGGATGTCAGATGTCGCTGGTGGTGACGCTTTGCCGGTGGCTCTTCACAAATATCGGCTTCCAGAGCGTTGCGTAGACGTTTGGTGGGGATGCGGGTTGTCGGAAGGATTGGGGCGGGAACTGGGGTTGGAATGGGAAGAGGAGCGGGAGCAACTGGGATATGAGCTAGATTTTTTGCGATATTGCTTCGTGTTCGTTCTGCGGTTGCCCTCAGAGAATAGCGTCTCTGAGTCGAGAGGGCTGGCTTCGTCGAGAGACGCGCCTTACGCTTCGATGGTGTGGATGTCAGATGTCGCTGGTGATGCCGCTTTGCTGGCGGTACATCTGGGCTATCGACATCTTCGCGTCGACGTTTCCTTTCTGTGCAATTCTGTATGGCTTGAAGTGGGTACATCGTACATAGACTGGATTGTCCAAGCGTGAAAGGACGTATGCGGTAGTCGAGGTGAAAGGAACCGGGCACGTGGCATGACGCGAGCGCGTCGGCCGCTGCGGTCCGCTTTTCCACGGTGCCACGGTGTCCAAACGAGTCACGCCATGCGTCGGGCCCGACCGTTATCTTCCTCGCTTGCACGACACAGACGCGGAACGATCCGCAAACCCAACGTCGGCCGTTCAAAGCTCTCGTGTCGCCTGCTCTTTCTTCTCCGCGTCTCTCCTCTCTTCCACCATCACCCCCGGCCTCCCTCCTCATAAGGACTCGGTAACTTTCTTGACTCTCTAGCCCCGACCCTGCTCGCTCTGTTCTTCGATTCTTGGAAAGTGCTATGGCTAAAGGAAGGCGGAAAATCCGGGACTTTTTCGCCTCTTCCTCACGGGCATCAAAGCGACGTCGCCGTGGTTCTTCAGAAGAACTCGAGTTTTTCGCCCCGACTGGGGATCTCAATCAACAGCTTCTTGACAGTCGACGATCCCCTTCATCTGAACCCGACCCTCTTGCCCAAGTTCAATGCCTGTGGTCACCTGTAGCAGTGTTCGACGCTCCGCATCCACTCACTCTAGCTACTACGTCATTCCCACAGGCTGTGGCAAGGACACCATTTGCTCGTTTCTTCATCCCCCAATGGGAGAGCCTGTCGGACAATGACAAGGCAGTGTACGAAGGAAGGTGTCAACAACTGGTGACGGCCGCAGAGAAGAGTATGAAGAAACCATCCCGAGAGTGGGGGTATATGAGCCCACACTGTGTCCTCAGATGTTTTGCAATACATCGTACGGCGAACGAACAGGATGCCTCTTCACTTCTTGATGTGCATGAAAGTCTTGAAACATTGATAAGGCTCTTTCAAGACCTGCTAAGGGCCGGGAAGGACTTATCTGTCTTATTACCATACTATTATAAACTCGTCCACCATGGCAAGTCTTTCCTTAGCTCCTATAAAACCGTTAATATTGACTCGAACCATAGAAGCGTGGTCAGATCGACCTTACATACCAGAGGCCGTTCCCATCCGTACGTCCACTCTTTCATCATCAATGTATAATGATCTGATATGTTTCACACCAGCCGCTACAGTTGTACGTGAGCCAGCTATGGTAGCACCTTGTGAGCTACACAATTTACTCTTTCCCGTTTTTGCCCCTGTTCTGACCAAACGTGGTAGACACACCCAAGAAAGATGGTCCTAAAATTATCCAACAAAAATTCGACAATGTTTTTGTGGAATACAAGCCCGTCTTCGATAACCTGAAGTCCCATCGACTATCTGATCGCTACCATGTTGGCAAAGGATCAAGGCTCTTCATGCAGGATGCGTTAGATTCGGATTCTCCTGCGCTTGATCGTCAGGTCGCTGGTATCTGCGTCCGAGGTCAGATCACATAAGTTCAGCCTTTTCCTTGCGTCATGGACCACACTGATATTTTTGAAGGCTTCTCAAAGGCAGTTCCGGAAGCGGAAAGAGTCTTACATGCGCACGAGACCTTTTGGAACATTTCGGCGTCCTTTTCACCTGTCCAACTGGGGCACACGGGGGGGTGTTCGCTGACGACGCCGTGGGCCGCGGCTCTCACGACATGCAGACCGCGCTCGAGCACCTGGAACAGAGGAGCGAATTCAAGGAGATCACCACCAACCCAGGACAGGCAGATACTAATATCTCTCTTGTCAAGGATTTCTGCATGAGCCTGCTTGTGAGTCGCCTCGCAGTCATACGGAAAGTTCTCGACAGCCAACCGGCCGACTTGTCTTCTAAGGAGCGGAAGCGGGACTGTGGTATTGTTCAGCTGGATCCAACGTTATTTTGCTCGACTCCCGGGCACCCGGATATTTATGAGCGTCTCCTCAGAGTGCTTCGATTCGCCTCACCCTACGCATGCGAGTGGCTCCTGAATCACTACTGGGAGGGTCTCTGCTCTGACTACCCGGATCTCGTTGAGGACTGTCCTTTATTCATTGACGAAGCACAGGCCCTCGCATCTAAATTCGGCTCCGTGCACTTTCTCTCCGCCTCCAACCGCAATAAGTCTCGACCGCTTCTGACCCCGGTGGTAGAAAACCTCATGAAGCCCAAGATATTCACAAGATGTGTGATCTCTGGGATCAGTCTGTCACCGAAAATCTTCGATGTTGCCCTGCAGTCTACGACGGCTCGTTTGAACGCGCGTATCGTGGAACTCACTATGGCAGACGGATTCTTCGACAAGGCGGAGCAACGGCGCTATATAGTACACAAACTCCGGCCCTGGGCCGACGAGATTGGTATCTCCGAGGAATCCTTTGACTATCTCGTCGTTCGCATGACCCTCATACTTCGTGGTCGGTGAGTGCCATTGCATCACTCTTCGCTCGTATGAGACTTTACTCAAGAATGTATCTTCATTTTGTAGATATCGGGTCACGACGTGTTGCTGTGAACTGATTTTGCGCACAGGAACAAAATCTCCTCACCGATTTCTCACCGCGTTTGTTCTGAGACTGGGAGGCTTCTTTCTTACGGATGGTGGAAAGTTTGAGTCTGCTGAGTCTGCCCTATCAAAGAGAGAGGAAGACGCGATAAACGCTACCGGCCAAATAATCGACTGGGACATGTTCGAGGAGTTCGATCAGGGTACGTCGTCGATTGAAATCCTGCATCTTCACGAACTTATCGCTGTGTGCGGCCTAGACACCAAACGCTGTATTTTCGAGATGGTGACGCGTCTTGCTATTCAAGGACTGTATACCGCACTGGACGGCGATCAGAAGAGGTTAATCGAGGTCGGCATTGGCCATCTCACCGTCTCCAAGATCGTCACCCCCCGCGTTGTCCCCGAAGGGCCAGTGATCGCCACCAACAATGCTGCCCCCGATGACGGTGCCGACGAGGCCAACGACATCGACGACGACATCGACGACGACATCGACGACATTGACAATGACGACGACAGTGACGATGACGACGACAACGGTGATACCACCAGTGAACCCTCCGTGACCGTCAACGCCGCCACCGACGCCAATGATCCCTCTGGTGCAGGCGCTGTGTATCTTACCGAACTCTTGACCGTTAGCGCGGTAATGGCCAGGTACCCGGAGAAGGTGGCTGACACCCTGTTGCAAGGCATGCGTCTTGGACTCAACAACAGCATGAACGGCTTCGCCTACGAACCCCAGATCTCATACGTGGCAGCTAAAGTTCACGGCCACCGGGATAAGTTCACGAGCTTGGGAAACCTCTATCAATTTCACAAGGAAGTTGCGTTCCTGGCGAAGCTTCAAGTCCAGCTCGTTGCCATGTTTAGAGGACCAGATAGCAAGTGGCGCGCCACCCAAGCTGGTCCCGGTTTCGGACCTTCTCCCCAGATGGGCTTCAAGGCCAACTCTCCCAAGGAATTACTCGAGCATTTGAAAGATGGTGGGGCAACATGCATCATCAATCCCGACATTTTTCATGGCGGAGATCACATCAAGTTCTACAAGGTCAAAGGGAGCAAGCACTATATCATGGTCGTGGACCAAGCCAAGCTCTCCGCCGGGAAGGATGGCAAACTGCGGCCGGAAATGTTGGAGAAGGCCCTGCAAGCTAACGACCCGAGAAGATACTACAAACCCAAGGTGCGCATTCCTTTCGTCTTCATTTTCGCCCTTGTTCTCGTTCCCGCTCGTCAAAATTTTTCTTACCTTCGTTCAAAATATTCAGGGTTCATCAAAGAAGAGGAAGTGGCTCGTCAAGGAGGGCAAGGAGATCCTCGAATGTCTTAAGGAGATGCGGAACGCAGAAGACATCGATTCGAACAACACCTATGACCCGGCCCTTCTGCCACCAGAGCTCACAGAGGAGAATTTTCCCCATACCGTCTGTGGTTTTGCGCTCGCAGGAACGGCCCACTGGCAGGCTCCCGCCTGGTTCGTATCTGAGATGCACAGACGCTTGAACCGTCCGGGCCAGGTTCCAGCTTTGATGTTGAGTGAGCCGTTCGAAAAGCACCTTGGCCCGTCTTGGCGGTTTGCGACCACCGCCCAGAACGAGCCCGTCCGTCCGTTGGGGAGAATGGAGGGGAGCGCTACTGCCTAGAGTCGGATCTATCTTCTTTCTACTGCTCGTCGTCGTGGTTGGCTGGTCTTATCGCGGATGGTTGAGCCCTTCTCTGTTTCTTCTTCTCGTCATTCCTTCTCCTACGCTATGAGTACCAGTCGCACTTCGTATGCTTCTTCATTTTCCACAACATGGATATGCCTTTGTATGCCGCTACATCCTTTTATTTTTTGAATATACATATATGCCCTTACATGATCTCCGAGCCCCGAGTGATCGTTGGTTCCGTTGCACTCAAGGCGCAACAAGGGCAGGTACGGGCGGCCTTAGACTCGAGCGAAAGGATCATAACATGAGATATAACTCGGGTGCATGCCGCTGGGTGAATAGCGACATGTAACTCGACTTCCCAGTGTATGGCTTGCTGACGATTTTTCTGTGAGCCTTTGCTGTAGGCGATTCGAAGCTAGCGCGTGGCAATTTGGGGGGCCTGCGACAGTTCGCAGTCGGGTTGAGATTCAGATTGTTTTCGTACAACGTTAAGGGAAAGCCAGAAATGATATAGGCGCGGTATATTGTACAGTAATACAAACAACTCGTATACTTCGTTCGGAGTCCGCGGGTCCGGAGCCCTCGACCGTTGATACTGTCTCCGCTGCACGAACCTCCTCATCCATCCGTTCGTTCATCCGTCCATCCTTTCATTCGTTCATCCATCCATCCGACCCCCCTCCTTCCATCAATCGAAGCTCCTTAAACACGGCAGCCAAACTGCCACCAGTCCGCGCGTCCACGACGAGATCAGAATCCGTCCGTGATAGAATCAGAAACTGCCGCCCCCGAACTTCTTCAACCCCGCCTCGAGCTGGTCGCCGACCTTGTCGGCTGTGCTTTCGTCCTAGAGAATAAGAATAAATGTCAGTAGTTGTAGTATATCGCGAAGAGCCGAGGCGAAAGAAGAAGAAGAAATACATGAGCCAGCGACGAGTGTCAAGCTACGCCACACACTCATAACACCCGTACCAACGAAAAGAAAAACAGAAAGCCTACGCACAATGTTGTATCCCACCTTCTTCGCGGCGTACGCAACACCTTTATCCGCCCAGTCTCCGCTCTTGCCGCTCGATTGGTGCGTGCCAGCGGTACCCGAGTTGTTGTTGGAAGAACCGTAGGTGTCGCTGGTAGAGGAGCCGTGGGAGGTCTTGTTGGAAGACCCGTACGAGTCGCTGTCGTTGGATCCGTACGAGTTGGAGTTGTTGGTGGAAGAGCCGTAGGAGTCGGTGTTGGAGGAACCGTGGGCAGTCTTATTAGAGGAGCCATACGAGTCTTTATCGTTGCTGCTGTTGTTGTTGTTGTTGTTGTTGTTGTTGGAAGACCCGTACGAGTCTTTATCGTTGGAACCGTACGAGCTGTTGTTGTCGTTCCGGTCGCGGTTGCCGGTAGACGAACCGTACGAGTCGTTGTTCGAGGAGCCGTAGGTATTGGTATTATCGTCACGATCGCGGTTGGTGGAAGAGCCGTAGGTATTGTCGTTGCCGCCCGACGAGCCGTACGAGTTGGAGCTATCGTTGTTGTTCCCACCCCTTCCGCCTCCACCAGACCCGTACGAGTCGGACTCGTTCCTCGACGAACCATAACCTTCACCGTCCCCACCTCTCCCTCCACCAGACCCATAGGTGTTGTTGTTTCCCGCGCCGCCAGAGCCATACGAGTCAGACTCGTCACGTCCGCCGCTGCCTATTCCTCCGGAGCTGCCGTACGAATCGGAGTTGGAGTTGGAGTTGGAGTTGGAGTTGGAGTTGTTTCCGCCGTACGAGTCGTTTCCTCCACCGTACGAGTTGTCGTTGTCGCGACCGTATGACATGATACGTAGATATGAGGAAGGGGAAGGGGCTATGAGAGTTGGGCGTTGAGCGTTGGGAGGAGGTGGGCTGTTCGTGGGTGAACGGGGTGGAGAGACTATGAAGGTACCCTCGCGGGGGTCTTTATACCAGTTCAGGAGGGCGTCGCACGAATGTTCCTGTCAACGCATGAATGGAGGTAATTACCGGATTGCGCGTGGATGAGGACAGCAGGATACTAGATAGCGTGTGTCCAGGTCCTGGCTCGAACGTTCAGGTAGGTAGGCGTTGCTTTTTGTTTTATTTCACCATCTGTTTCGTCTGTCCGCTCTGTATTTCTCGCGCCTCGTAGAGCTTGCTCCGTTTGGAGCGACCCACCCCATGAACCTGTGGCGCGTTAACATGCTTGTTGAAGTTAGTCTCTTTTACTTTGCTCAGGCTTTTTCTCGACCATGTCACCCTGAAGGCTGCAAAAGCGGTTCGGTCATGCTCGGGCTCGAAACGGCTTATATTCGGTCTTGAAAGGGCAAACTGAGGCTCGAGCGAGCTTATGCGTCATGGTTCGCTGGTAGAAGACGTGATAATATGCCATAGCGATCGAAAGGGATGGCCGACCAAGCAGGTTTTCTTTCTGCGAGAGCTTGCCAGCCGGTCATCTTTGGAATACCCGCTGGCCAGGTGAGCATTGCGCTTGACCACCCGAGTAAGAGCTAAATAGAGCGGAAAATATGGTACTGAGGATGGCAAGCGGCGGAGTGTCGGGCCACAATTGCAAATATCGACATTTGTGAGCGTTGTGGCGTGCGAGCCTGGGGCCAAGCCGGGGAAAGGTGAGCCCCTATCCGAGTCCCGGTTCCTGCGAGTGACGTCGCCATCGTCGTTCCTTGTTCTCCTCCTTTTCACAGCCTTTTCTGGTTTTCGTTCCTCTTTCAATCTAAACATAACTCACAAATGACATCGTTTATTTGCACCCTAACAGCTCTGTCCTGTTCCTTGACCAAACTCTCAGATGGTGACGCATCGTCGCATCACCTTGCCCTCCTCTCGCGTTCCGTTCCGTTCCCGTTAATCCTTTCGTCTTCTAGGCCGCGCTAGTCCATGACAGGAACCACAGCGTAAAACGCCAGAATTCGCCGAGGGCATATTCTGGTCAAATTACACAATACAACGGGAATCTCCCTGAACCCGCCGTGCCGCGTTTGCCGAGAATGCAAGAAAACACGACGGGATGACATTCTCGTCCAGTTCTTGTCTGTCCTCGTGGAATTCTGTCGACTGCCAAGATATACGAGAATCCGCCTGGCATCCGAGAAAACAAGGTTTTCGAACCCGCTTATGCAGGCCCGGAGCTCAAGCGCTCACTCGGGCTCGACTTAGACTTTTTTTTGTGCGGACTTGCTCCCTTAGTGAGCTCCTCCATGTTCCTCACTCTGGACTGTTTTCTTGTTCCCTCCTTTGAGCACGCTGACACACTGACATACTGATACACTTTTGGTTCTATAGCTTCATATAGCACCTGGATGCCGTCAGGACAAGGGGTGCAGGTATTATAAAGAGTCGAAGGTGCGTCCCAGCAGTACCCAGTGACCCCTTGCTTCCGTGACCGCACATCTGACCTTGTCCTTTCCTCGCTAGCATTCTCAGAGGTCAAGTCTTTCGTAGTCCATACTATCTGTCTATATCGAACTATCCAGGGCGATGTTGTGCGAGTCCAAGGGCTCTGAGGCAGAGCGGCAAGCGATGAAGTCGGCGGCTTTGGATAACCATGTTCAGCGACAGAGCGGGTTCGTTCGCTTCCATTCATCGTGACCCATAGTACATATGTAGTTTTGTCCGTAGTGTATGCTTCATGGTAGCTGTTTCCTAGTATTATTTTCCTAATTTCCTGGCTGGCCATATGTGAACATTTCAAAATGCTCGAAAATGGAGCGATAAATGGAACCAGAGGGTCTACAAAAGGAAATTCCTGGCGTGCAAGCAATGCCGTCTATTTACAGCAGACCCGGGCTTGTTCGCAAAGATCCTGGTCGCATCTTGCGACATTCTGAGCGGATTCAGTCCGTATCTTGCAAAACTTACAAGAACATGCCAACTCAGACATTCTCGTCGCATTCCCGGCGTGTTCTCCTAAATTCAGAGAATACGCCGAAGATATACGGCCGGCGGATTCTGAGGCTTTACGCTGTGGTTAACCCCAGGTACTGTCCTGGTCTAAGTCTGGTCCACAGCCTCCTTCTCTCAACCGACGTCAACGCACACACGCATGCTCCACGATCTTTGCGCCAAGACCAACCGCGATAAAAACGCGCATATTTCAGGAAAACACGACATGAAAAACAAAAACCAAAACAATCAGCATAGAGATACTAAGAAGGACTCGAGCGCGCCCCGAATGTACAAGGACTAGTACTGTCGGTGAGCTGCTTGCTTCGCCGCCGCGTCGGAGCCTAGGCAGTCTCATTCACATTGGTTGACCAGGCAGCTCACCGACCGATCTGTTGTGGATACAAAGACGCGCCAAATGTAAGGACGTACCTGATCCTTGCATAAAAAAGAACGAAAGGGAGGATAGCTCGAGATCACCGTCTCTGACAGGCAACGACGGACGGCGCCCATAACGCCATCACGTGGACAGTTTTTCAACTGCCGAAACAAAGTCCGACAAATGGAAGTGTGTCAGGACTCAGTCTGAGCCTGTGACACACCTGCACTTTTACCTGCTCATACTTACATGATACAACTCACTCACGCGGCGTTGGTGGAACCTAGAAAAACGAATCTAAGAGCGCCGACGAGACTGTGCAGTGAACTTGGGCGCCACACGAACTCTATCCTTGCGTACTGACCAACGCGGAAAAAGCGTCGAGTTCCGAGCTTGTTCCCCTTCTCTCACCTATTCGTCTAACTTTTTGTCTCTATGCCCGAAAGAATATCATCATTACTCTAGGAAAATAATTACTAGAAGGTCCGACTGTTTCCCGAGAAACGACCCGGGCGGAGTCCCATGCTGGCATGCGGTCTTATGGTGCGTGGATCGATGATTCGAGGGCACGTCCGTTGCCCGTTCACGCACGTCTCATGCATGACACAGGTACAGACACAGTTAACGGGAGGGCCGTTTTTTGTCCCGTTTCGCTGAAGACATGGATGTATAAGAAGACAAGAGTCTGAGGTGTCAGTGGCTACGGTAGAAACGATGAAGAAATGATATTGGTGCGTTTTATTTACTGTCCTTGACGCCGTTGCACCTAGCAGGGAGTATAAATTGTGTACCTATGGACTCACAACAATTATAGGAGAGCGCGAAAACGGATGACATGGACCGAGAGGGCAGGTGCGTGTGTTCAACCCCCCGCCTGAGACACTCGTTGCTAACCATCGGAACGTTAGACTATTACCGGAGGAGAGAATCAAGTTACAACGTGATGTTCTCAAATACGCAGTGAAAACAACAGAGCAGCGCCTAACGGGTACGTGTTCCTTAAGTTGGCCGAAACACATATTGACGTTCAACCTAGGCAGGAGCTCGTCTCCCCATGCCCCGGCGGACGAAGGAGGAACCAGAATAAAACGAGGCCAGGAAAAGGAAAAGGTGAGTGCAACCCGGAAACAATAAACAGCTCAGAATCCTCTAACGCGAAGTACACCCCCAAACCTATCCACCTATTCGCAACCATCCCCCAACCCCTACATTCCGAACTCTTCCTCTTATCGACCCTCGCTCCCCATTCGATCTCTCTCCTGCGTCCTCTACATCTACCCACCCACCCTCAGAATTTTCACCCGGCCATCCCCTTCTCGGAGCACGTCACCCCTCACGGTGGACTGGTGATGAAACTGGTTAGCTCTCTCAAGCTGACGGCCCATCGCCGTCACTCTGAGCTGCTATACCTCTCATCTTTTTCCATTGCTGAGGGGTTCAGGCTCTAGTCGGTGTTCCGCCTCAGCGGCCACATCCCCTTGAGGCTTCGCCCCTCGTGGTGTGTCAGACCTCATCTTCTTCGTCTTCCCTCGTCGCCCCTCTCTTCCGTCTCGCTGTGCACCCTCTTCCCTCTTCGAAGCCTTCTTGCCCCTTGGCGATGTAAGTAGTCGAAGACAGCGCCCCGTGTTTAACGCCGATCTCCCGTTGAGGTTGCGTATCGACATCAGTAGTCGGCTGGTTGAGACGACCCGTCATCAAGTGCCTGTCCAGGCTAACGGCCTCTCGATCTCGGGCGTAACGATGAAGCTTGCCTTCTCAATGAAGGCGGATATCTCGAGGATATCAGTCGATTCAGGAATGAAATGTACCCCTGTGCATGTTTGTATTGCCAGCGGGTAGGGGTAGCTCGGCGTGGGGGCGCTTCCATGCCTGCGAGGCTCGCAGGGGACAGCACGGCACGGCATACGGAGGGTGGCTGGTTCGGTCAATGGAGGAGCCGCTCGTGCGCTGCCTCCCGGACTGAGATACCTGTATGGTAAAATACTACATCGTCAGTTACCTATGGCAGAGGTAAGATTGAAGGTGGAAAAGAGAGAGCGAGTCGTACCCCGATTTGGGTCGCAGAGATTTCCGGCGTCGTATTGGCAGTCGTATCTGCGCAAGGGAACGGATGACGATGATGGGGTGTTCCATTATGTGACGAGTTTGACGAGCTTGACGACGTGTTGTCCTGTGTGATCTGCTAATCAGTTTCTCTGACACGTATCTTATTGTAGGACGGACGGACCTGTTTCAAAACCACCGGCGACGACAAACCCTATGTATCATGACTCTCCCAGGATTTTACTATCTCGTCGGGGTCCGCTTTGGACTGAGAGGGTTGAACGTCATGGTCGATGGACATAACAAAGATGGGTTATACTCACCCGCTGAGGTAGACGCCGCGAACATTTCGTTTCAGACTGCTGAGCTGAAGATTGATTATTTCAGACAGTCAATCAACACCATCTCGACGCTGAAGAGGACAAACCTTGGGCTAGTGTAGGCGGATGGCCCGTATGGATCCCCCTGTCAGTCCTCGCCCTTTGTGTCCTCAGGGCTCCTTTTCCGTTTGCGCTCTGATCCTGGGCGCCGATGGTCACGGTCATGGGGCTATGATAGATTTGCAGGTTCATGTCAATGTTGTCGATTGTCTGATTTGCTTGTTCTTTCTTTGCAAAGCGATTGGCGGTGGAGGGTCGCAGGAGGATGCTCTTGAGGGAGAAGGAGAGTGTCCGCGACATGATATAGATATGCAGCCAACATGGACTAATTTGACGTCCGCCGGCTTGTCTCCCATTTTGCCCAGCCTTGCGGTGCCGGACCTTTTGCTCTCCTTTTATGGCCTCCGGTTTTTTCATCGTACTCGTAAGTCTCGGGCATCTCTTGAACAAAACAAAATATATAGTACTGCTAGCCTTCTATTGGGAAACGAAAAATCGTGATGGTTTTGTGTTTTGTGACAACTGCGTTGTGCCTTCTGGACTAGACCTGGTGCAAGGAAACATGTGGCCTTGTGGACTGTGGACTGAGGACTCGACTCACAATAAGTAGTGGCGTCTCGGAGTTTTCTCTTCTCCCTCAGGCCGCCCTCTATTCATATCACTCGATACAGGTCTTTTTATCGAGCTCCGCCTCCAAATTAAAAATTGCGTGTCAGAGTTCGAAGTAGTACTGCGAACCTGCAGAGTATGAATAAATTACGGTGAGCCATCGTGTCGTCTTTCCCGCTGCTCTACTCCAGGCTGTGCTTTTATGTTGGTTAGTGCGACTGTTTGGCGGTGTAATCGGGCACTCCAGGAGAAGACGGGGAATACTTATCTAGGTAGAGTGGGACGCTCAATACTCAATATATCTTGGTCGGGCTCGAAGAATACACGGCTTTAAATTTGATTATACCTAGCCTGATGTGTGTTGAGAGATGGTCTTGTCGGAGCACCGCTCACGGTTCGTCTGGGTCTGGATCCCTTACTAGGTTCGGCTCTGCGTTCGATATAATCACATATACTGCTGTGGATGAGTCGCTTTAATTCTGGAAAAAGTCCCTGACCACCAACCATTGGCATTCTTACTGATCGATATCCTTCACACCCCTGCACTTGGGCCAGTATCTCGCACCACGCGTACGGTCAACCACTTTTGATGCTCGCTGCTTTGACGCGTTCAGTTACAGTGACGTTACGGATTCGGGCTCTGAGTCGTTGTCTCGTGTCAGTGGGTAGGAGCTCGAACTGATTCAGACCCTGGTCGTTTCGACTGGTACTGTCTCAAATCCCCGCATGTGAAGCGCATCGTGTTTCTGCTCAGTGCTAGCTGCGTTATAATTATTTCCTGCGCTTTTTTCATGTTTTCATGCTCAACATCTCCATCTTCCATCTTCCATCGCGTCTTCTAATTCGGGCCCCCGTTCGTGACTAGCTATAGCACCGCCCCGACGTATCAAGACTGAATGTATAGGCTCTATCATTATCTCTATCTCTATCTCTATCTCTATCTCTACGTTCTATCGCCGCCCCGACCGGCGACGTCTGGCAGCTTTATCCATATCCCTATCCATATCCCTATCCGTATCATAGGAGGACCAAGACAGGACCCAAACGACGTCACCCATCTAGTACTCCGGATCCTTGGTCGTTGGTCGTGATTCGTACACAGTCAGAGTCCAAGTCCAAGTCCAAGTCGAAATAAAAATAAAATAAAATAAAATAAAAATGAAAAATCGAAGGCACGCGCGTCCGACGTCTCGGAAGCGTTCTCGTTTTGTTTGTGGATGTCTTGAGCGAATCTTCCAGGGAGTTGGGGATTTGGGGATTTGGTGAGTGTGAGTATGAGTGTCAGTGTCAGTGTGAATATGACTGTGATTGTGGCGCGGTGAAGATTCAAGATTCAAGAGTCGTACATTGTCGAATTTGATGGTGAGAACTGAATGCTAACTCCCGAACTCGAGACGAGGGTAGCCTGGATTGCATGGGATGGAGAGTTATTATGTTTGATCAGCGAGTGTTAGCCGGTGGAGAACGTAGGTATAAAAAGAAAACGAAAAAGAAAGGGGATGGATCGGATGGATGGATGGAGATGGATGGATGGATCGGATGGAGATGGTATGTATATGAGATGTGATAAACGGGGGAACGGGAGGTGGAGGTGGCGACCAACGTTGTAGGCATGTAAGAATGTAAGGAACGTACAGGAACGAGACTGCAGCCCCGCGACAGATACTTAGTGTAGCGTAGCTATCCAGGAAACCGAGTCAGATTCAGAGTCGAGCCCGTAGTCGTCGTGTATGTCAGCTCCTACACAATGACATACAGTATATGTGGTCGATTAAGTGTCCTTGTCTACGGCGTAGTGGGTTACGTATACGTATGAGCATAAACGTGAACGTGAGGATAGGCAGTTCTAGGATGATAGAGACGGGGATGGGGATGGGGATGGTGGTCAGTCCAGGATGCGTGTGGCGTGTGGCGTTTTCGGGTCGTGTTCGAGGAGAAGGGGACTGGTGTGTTCTGTGGCGTTCAAGTAGTGACGCAAGTCGGACGAAGGTAAGTCGGACGAAGGAAAGGACGACGGACCCCGTTCATGAACATACTATACCGCACACTATCCCAAACCGCTCAACTTCAGGTCCTCCAGACGGCCACCGTGATATAAAGACCCGAGCTGAGATCCTCCTGAGCTGTTAAAGCCTGCAGGGTCTAGGGTCTCAAAGCCTCTAGGGTCTAGGGTCTCCAGCTAAGGAATCGAAAGAGGAGAATCAAAGCAGTCGAAAGGATCAAACCATTGACAATCGAAGAATCAAAGCAGCCAAAGCGGACGAAGGAGGCAAGGTCCGAGTCCGCTTAGCGTCCTCGTTCTCTGAATCGGTCGTATGTAAGAACAAACGAGGAAGAGAGCGGAGCGTAGAGAGTTTAGGTGTGGTTCATGGAAGGAGTTGAAGGACTGTCAATGGGACGGATATAGACATACTGTAGTTGGGGACTGCCACTGGAAGAGCGAGAGCGAGTGTTGGGGACTGGGACGGCCATAGCCATAGACTCATAGTTGGGGACTGCCAGTGGAAGAGCGAGAGTTAGAGATGGGGAGTGGAAGAGCGAGAGATAAGAGTTAGAGATGAGATGCAATGGGATGGCATGGGAGAAGGAAAAGACAGGGGTCGTCGCGATTCAGACTTGGAATGCGAGCTTGATTTGGAACTTGGAACTTGGAACTTGGGATGATGCACGGCGGTGGATGTGAGTTGGCTTTGGCTTTGGCTTTGGCTTTGTCGGAGGTGGTGTGTGAGTCAGGTTGAGGTCGAGGTCGAGGTCGAGGTCGACGGTTGGTGAGGTTTGAGGTTACAATGACGTCGAAATCGAAGCCGTTGCGAATGAAGGGGGTCACGGTGGAGGAATAGAGGAGAGGGAAAGGAGGAACTTGAATGCGGGGCTTGAAGAGCAAAGCATAGGGATGGTACGGTGAGCCTGAAGTCTGTGCAAGAGGAGATCTGGAGGTTTGACGTACATCCCCATCCCCATCCATCTTCGTCACGGTCCTCACGCCCAGAGTTATTATAAAACCGCCTCGGACTCGGAGCCGATCTACACTCCGATCGCGACTGTCCCTCGGACCTCCTCTTCTCGTGCTCGCCTGTCTGTGTCTGGAAGAAAAATCATATAGAATGAGTTGAAGCAGGTTCAAGACAAGAACGTCTCATGGATCCTTCCAACTTTTCATCGTCCAGTCATCGACCGCCAAGTAGCCTGAGACGTAGCCAAAAGTAAAACGCCCAGACCAGAGTCGCACAAAACATCAACATCAATAAGATCACCACCACCCTGACAGCCACTGCGCTCCCTTATCACCGACTCGGACACCCGAGTAAGCCAGTCATATGCATGAATGGATCGCTGTCGATGTCATAGCTTAGAAACCTCCCGCCCTTGTTTATGCATGAAATTTTGTTGTGTACGGTTGTGTTTGTTTATGTACGCGCGCAGGTCCACGGGACGGGAATGGGAAGAGGGAGGAGGTGTTCGCACGGATGTGTGGCGGGATGGATGGATGGAAGGATGCAAGCGTGAAGTTGGGCGGTGACGTAGTCGACTTTGAATGAGGTTTATGGAAAGATGGACTGGAGAGAGAGGTATGTTTTCCAGACGAAAGAGTACAGGCCGTTTGGAGCTAAGGGAGTGAGACAGGAGTGCGTTGACAGCAGAGTGCAGGGTCGTCAGGATCGACGCCGCTAGCCCAAAAATGCAAGAAAATCACCAACAGGCGCTCCTCTGTCTGTCTCTCTCCCCAGGAACTGACCATCCATCCAACGACAGTCGTCCGTCCAACGTCCGTAGACCCTGACCATCCCGTAATTCGCGTACATAATGAGACGAAGCGGGCCACACGCGTCTCTGAATCGACGCGTCTGCCCACGTGACCCCAATATCGGGCCAACTCTCCCACCATGCTCAATCTCGCCTCGCCCTTTTCCTCTCGACGCGATCGTCGCTCGCTGCCGCCCCACATCCGCCGCAACGCGTCCTCCCTCAGCTCGCTCGAACACACCTCAATCGCGCGCACGCACGACAAACGACAAACGTACGACGAAGCGGCTTATTCAGCGCTGCGTTATTGAAGTCCTAATCAGTCAAAGCGAAACGAAACGAAACGAGGTGCGTAGCGTATCCCCATCCAGTCCTCTCGCAATCTCTCCGCTCACCCTTTCTCTACAGTCTCACTTCCACCAACCACCGCCCACCGCCCACCACCCATCACCGCAAACAACAAACAACAAACATCAAACCGCAACCGTCATATGCCCCCCGCACGATGGAGGTCGACTACTACTACCACCCCGACACCTTCCCTTCCTCCTCCCAGCTCACCGGCTCGCAGTTCGTCCAGCGCGAGCGCGAACGACAGACGGCGCCGCTGCAGCAGGATTATATACAGTGGGAGAACTCGCAGCCGGATAGTGGGCCGCTTAGGGGTCTTATTTATGAGGCGAAGAATTCGCCGAGGATTGTGATACGTGAGTCGTTTTCCCCTTTTTCTGGGCATGCTTTTCTTTTTGTGGTCATACTTTGGTGTGGGTGTCGCTGTTCGTGCGTTGGATCTGGGGAGAACTGTTCGTCGCTCGGCCCCGTCACGTCGATCGCGTTCTTCTGCGTTATGTGCGGCTGCGTTCTTCCCGCGCTTAACACCGTCCGTCCGTCCATTGTTAGCCGCCTACGTCAGTTTCCCTTTTGATCACATCGCGAACACGACGATGGTCCTGATGTCTCTTTGCCGCACGCACGGGGATGGTGACAATGATGCACGGGGATAGTGATGCACGCACGCACGCTTCATGGCCCGTGCGCAAGTGAAATCGTGAGGATCGGGCTGGGGCGTGGTGCGTGGTGCGTGTTAGGTGCATCGTGTTCTCAGGGATCGTGGATAGATTCTCCCGATTTGATGTGGCGATGTATCGGGGGTGCTTCATTGCTTTGGCGTTT